TTTTTTACTCTTTCTAACAATGGCATTTTAGAACAGAGTAATCACCATAAGATTTGTGCAGTATACCGGAAACTAAAGTAAATTTGAAAGCAGTATATAGGGTGTCCCCACCAGCTTTCGTTTGTCGTCTGCTTGTTCCTCCACCAACCTAGTTTGCTTCTTTGATCGTCGTCCCAGTGTATGGAAATGGTTTCCTTTGTTTCTGTTTGAGAATTGGTCCAGGTAGCTTCAATCCCAGGGATATTAGCAAGTTTTTTTTAAGTGCGAAAAATATGTGAAAATAAGTTAACAATACATTAATTTTCAAAGTAAAAAAGAGACTTTTTTTAAGTATTGCTTTCATTTAAAAATTTGTAATAATTAAAATTATATATTATGTTAGAGGCGTAGCTAAAAAATGACATAATTTACTCTGTCTTAAAATGTTGTGTTGATGACAGTTTGGCTCTAATCTGTTGTTGTTAAAAAAGAAAATTTTAATTTGATTATTATATAGAAAAGATGTTCCATAGAAAATTTTACGATATTTTCATTTACAAGGATATCCTTAATTTTAATAATATATTTTGGCCACATTAATAAATAACCTAAGAACCATTTCGAAAATTTTTGTATCAATCTCCTTTGTAAACAGATAAACCAGTAAGTTTTTGTTAATTCTGCATTATGTTATATAGTACGTTTTTTGTGCAATCTGTATTTTTGATAACTGTTTGAGACAAAAATAAACGTTTGATTTATTTCTCTGATCCATATTTTTTATTTTAATTTAGAAAAGTCTCCTAACCCTTGTGTGTATTCTTGATTTTAGGAAAGAAGAATTTTTCTTTCTTCCAGCAGGAAGTTTGCTCGAAGCAGCGCCCTTATCAGAAAATAGCTGGAGGTAATTCTTGTCTGCCATATTTTTTCGTTTTATTCCAGGAGATTTATGTAAGTATCCCTTTGTTTTCTTTTTGTAGTTACACTAATCCGACCCATTTGATTAAACTTATCCACAACCCAGCTCTCCAATAAACCTCTGAGTGCCGTACGCACCAGTATCGATTATTTGTTTGCCCTATCTCTATCCCCAGTAGTTTCTGTCCCTAATCTTCTACCCCCATGTTCGTACCCTGAGGTAAGCAAAATATATCGTTACACAAACACCTCTTTCTGACAGTACTGTGAAACGTCGCATTGATGATATGGCCGAAGACATACAAAACCAGGTAGTTGATGCAGTAAAACAATCGCCATTTTTTGCTATTCAGTTAGACGAGAGTACAGACATAGCACAATGTTCTCAGTTAATTGTCTATGTTCGGTATATTGAAAACGAAAGAATGAAAGACGACCTACTCTTTTCTACATAGTTGGTGACCACGACAAAAGCTATTGAAGTTATGAAAGCAGTATCAGACTTTTTTGACAAACATGAACTCTTTTGGCAAAAACTAATCGGTGTATGTATGGATGGCGTGCCTTTAATGCTTGGTTCTCGCTCAGGATTAGTAAGAGAGAAAAGTGCTGATGTGACTAGGATACATTGTGTTACACATCGACAAGCCTTGGCAGCAAAAACTCTTTCAAATGAACTGAATGCTTAAGGTAGTGAGTTACATAAAAACAGTGCTGAATACTCGACTGTTTAAAAGACTTTCTGAAGATTTAGGGTGTGGTCACAAAACACTGCTATTTCATACAGAAGTACCATGGCTCTCAAAAGTAAACATGCTGGCAAGATTATTTGACTTTCGAGATGAAGTAATCACCTTCTTGGAACAGCAAAAGCAAAATGATGTAAGCATGGCCTTCAAAACACATTGTACCCAAGTCAGACATCTTTGACTCGTTGAACAGCCTTAACCTAAAACTACAGGGTGGAGGCTCAAATATAGTTACTCATCGTGATGCGATCAAGATGTATATTGAAAAATTGAAAATTTGGAGGCGTAAAATATTAACAAACCCCTGCAATTATTTGAGTTTCCCTAAAGTAGAGTAAATTTTAGAAGAAACACGCTTCAAGGACATTTATGAAGGATCAAGTTTGAAAATCCAAATATCAAACCATTTGGAGAGTCTAGTTCAAGAGTCTCAGAAATACTTCCCAAACACTTGTAACGATAATATTTTCAGAACGCCAGTTGACCCGTTTCATGTCAACATAGACTACTTGCCTGAATCACTTTAAGAAGATGCTTTGCAAATAAAACATGATTCCTCTGCCAAATACAACTTTGATATAATGGACAAACCTTCATTTTGGTTAAAATATTTCAAAGTGTATCCTAGTGTATTACGGGAAGCTCTTCGTTTATATTTGCCTTTTTCAAGCACATATTTGAGCGAAAAAGCATTTTCAACACTTACGAGAATTAAAACAAAATATCGGAATAAACTTGATGCTGCTAGTGACTTGAGTTGTGCAGTTACTAAAACTCAGCCACGAATAGGCATAGTAGTAAAGAAAATGCAATCACATTCATTTCACTAACCAATCTAACCTATATTTCGTTTATTAATAATTTTTGTATTTTATAAAAACTGATATTATTGATTCTTATGGCAGTATAATAAAATGTTTTGTTTTCTATGTAATACTTATTTGTTTTTGTTTTGTTCCTAGGCCCATAAAATTTATTGTTAAGGGGTGGGGGCGCAAGAAACTTTCATTTTAACAAAATACATAGGTAATACATTTTGTACGGGTATAAAGTGGTGAGGTAGTAAATTTTCTTTTTTCAGTACTCGAAAAACTGAACAGTGGCGTACTCCTTCTTCTTCTTAACATGCCATACACCAAAGTGCGTAGGCGACTATCTCATTAGTAGAATTCTGTTCTTGGCGGCGTGACACAGCTCACCTGTATTGTGTATTCCTGTTCATTCTTTAATATTCCTTAACCAGGACAATTGTTTGCGGCCGGCTCCTCTCCTACCTTCGATCTTCCCTTGTAGGATTAACTGTGGTATTTCATATTTTGCTCCTCTCAATATGTGCCCAAGGTAACCAATCTTGCGTTTTTTAATTAATTCAAAGAGTTCTCTTTCCACGCCGGCTCTATTAAGGACGTCATCGTTTCGAACTCTATCCACCCAAGGTAAGCGCATCATTCTTCTCAATGACCACATTTCAAATGCTTCAAGTTTGTTGATAGATGTTTTTTTCAAAGTCCACGTTTCCATGCCATAAAGCAAGATGGACCATATGTAGCACTTGACCATTCTGTAGCGTATTTCGAAGTTTAGGTGTTGATTACATAGGAGCGGTCTGAATTTCACAAAAGCTTGTCTTGCCATTTGTATTCGGGTTTTTATCTCGTGTTGTGGATCCGATTGGTCATTGATTGTGGTGCCAAGGTATTTAAAAGTTTTCACGCGATTTATACGATTGGCGTACTCCAGACGTTGCTAATAAACGTTGATTGCGTAGTTCAGCATGGTTAGCAACTCACACTAAAATATCATCCTCCTGATCAACTGTCAAAATTTCTTCCGTCACTTTTAGGCTTAAATTATCCAGTATCTCCTAATCGACTAAAAATATTACTTGAAGTTTGGCAATTGGGTTGAAATCTGCCTGGATAAGTTTCTCTATATCTTCGTGCAGAAACAAGACAGGAATAATTTTCTTGTACATAAACAGAGCATATCTCGCATTTTAAGTTTATTAAAATTGTTATGCCGCGGCATCTTCACTTAATTAACTTTTTAAATTTTATTACTCTCAGAATATTTAGTGACAGTAACAACAATGGCAGCATCCTATTAAATCGAAACGAATAATTCAAACCCGAGCCAACTACAAAACCTGAACTTATTTTCAATATGTCGTGAGCAATTTAATACTATGAAAGCATTAAAATTTGTCAAATGATGTGGAGAAATGCTTCAAGTCATTGATGTAAATGGACATTGAACATTTGTTATAAAAGGTTTAATGAAAATTTTTTTTATATTTCCGTGTTATTAAAATTGTTCTTTTACTTAGATTATAACAAAATGGTTATTTTCAGAGCCACAATTTGTTTTGAAATATTGAATGCAGCTATCCATTTCAATGAAATTTCAATAAATCACATTACGTTTTTTAGTAAGGAGCCACGTTTTATTTAAGCGATTTGCGTTAAATCCTAATATAGAGCCCAGGAATCTACAGCTCAAATATTTCAATTATTAATGAAACACCCTGTATTTTAAAGAGTACAGTAACCATATACATACAGTTATATCAAGAAATACAAAAGTAAAACTCTACAACACAATAATACGCCCAGTCCTAACATATGGTTCAGAAACCTGGACTTTAACAAAAAGCAATGAAAACATGTTTCGAAAGAAAAATACTAAGGCGAATCTATAGAGCGGTAAATGAAAATGGTGTCTGGAGAAGACGATACAACTTCGAACGTATAGAATATACCAGGAACCAGATATCGTAAAACACATTAAGATAGGACGTCTGAGGTGGGCATGTAATGCGGATGGAGCAAACCGAGCCAGCTAGAAAAACGCTCCTTGATAGACCTATTGGTAAAAGAAGAAGAGGAAGACCCAGAACAAGATTTCTAGATAACATAGATTAAGATATGAGAAATATGGAAATACATGCTTGGATGAGGAAGGCGATGGATAGGAACGACTGAAAAAAAAATTCTTGAGGAGGCTAGGACCCACACAGGGCTGTAAAGCCAAAATGATGATGATGTAAACATATACATATAATTTAAAAACAAAATAAAGAAAAAAATATTTATAAAATAGCAAATTACGATGTTTTGATTTGTGAATTTTTATAGAAAACAATTCTAGTTTAAACGGTAATTTTTCAAACAATCTAAATTTTTAGAATATTGCTAATACCGCACTATTCACAAAAATATCTCGTTTTGTTTATTTATAGTGGTATTCAGTTTGTATTGAGAAAAATGTACAAAAATGTTTAAATATAGAAAAATGTTGAAGACTATAATTATTATTAAAATGACTTTAAAACATAAACACGATAATTATACTTACTGTCAAAATAGCTGGTATCTTCATCATGTTCAAGTTGAGGTATAAATTCAGCCTTTTTCCTAAGCAACGAATTCCAGTCTATTCCATGGAAATACACATGTTCCTTAATTTCTTGTGCACCTCCTGTTCCAAGTCTATCTCTAGGCGAGTGTTGTAAAAGGGAAACTATGAGATCTTTCGCTTCTTCCTGTACAGGCCAATCATCATTATCAGGCCATTCAATTTCGTCTAAAACAGAATAAACTTTAGTGAATATTGCAGTATCTTTTGGTAAACACGATAAATAATGTAGGCCAGCATATAAAAGACTATGTGTTTCATATAAGAGTTATATGCCCGCTAATAAAAAATTAAACTTCAAAACTATATTCGCAAAAGCATTTATTGATTAAATCAGATCATTGGCTAGTGATCTCAACATTAAGGGCTAGAATTACAAACATCAGTCAAGAAAATAAAAAAGAAGGCCAGACAGATATGGACTCCTACTGGACCAGAATAAAGAAAGACATTCAAGCAACAGCGAAAGATGAAATAGGAACAGAAATTTGGGCCTGTAAAAATTATTGGTTTGACGATGAAAGCAAGAATGCAAAAAAAGAAAAAAATGAAGCCTACAGAAAGATGTTTTCTGTAGAGGATAAAGAGATAAAGAGAAGAGGATAAACAAAAGAAAACCACCTAAGGAACTTAAATATGTCGAAAACCTTAACAGAGCGAAAGAATTCAGAGCATTCTATAAGAAAGTTAACATAAACAGAAAAGAATTTAAGGCAACAATAATATTAACAACAAGGACAGTTGTATTGAGTATATGGGCGGAATACTTTTACCAGGCATGTAATGTGGAGGAAGAAGAAAACCTGGAAGACGGAAGAGATGAGGCAAGGTGAGCAGACGAGAGGGAAGAGGAACCACTAACGATTCACCCGGAATCGATAATCTCCCAGATAAACTATATAAAGAAGGTGGCCATGATACCATTATAGCAGCTTATAAAAGAAATATGGACACAGAAATCTCTCCCAATGATTGGAATCTTGGAATACTTTGTACCATACACACAACAGGAGATATCTTTGAATGCTCTAACCACAGAGGAATTACGCTTCTAAACGCAGCATATACAATATTTTCTACAGTACTATGTTACCGTATGGCACTATATGCAGAACGGATAGTAAAAAAATACCAGGCTGGTTTCGGAGGTGGTAAATCTACAATTCGTCAGATTGCAATCCTGAAACAAATTTTGGAAAAAACACTGGAATATGGCATTGATACTCATCACATATTTATAGACTACAAAACAGCCTACGACTCTGTGAATAGAACAGACATCTTCAAAGCAATGAAAGAGCTAGGAATAGCAAATCAGCTGGTAAATTTAACAAAACTAACTCTTGAAAAAGTTAGATGTAATGTAGAGTACGAATTTAGGGGAACTGACTGAACCTTTTAAAACAAAATAATGGGCAGTGCCTCTCTCCCGTATACTCTTCAACCCGGCTTTGGAAAAACTCATACGTATGTCACAAATGACAACCACTGGTTCAATATATAATAAATCAGTGCAAATCCTGGCCTATGCTGATGATATCAATATTGTTGGGAGAACGTAAAACGCTCTACGAAAGGCGTATGTAGCATTAAAAAACTCAGGTACAAAAATGGGTTTAATAAACACCAACAAAACGAAGTATATGAAAATAAGCACGCAACCACAAATCCTACGACCACTCGTTATAGAAAACGACGACATCGAAGCAGTGAATGAATTTGTATACCTGAGAGCGCTCCTTAACACTGATAATAATACAAAACAGATGCTATTTTGGGCTCAATCTCCTCCTTAATCCACAATTATATCGAGAAATACAAAAATAAACCTCTACAAAACAATAATACGCTCAGTCCTAACATATGGTTCAGAGACCTGGACTCTAACAAAAAATAATGAAAACATGTTGAGATGTTTCGAAAGAAAAGTACTAAGGCGAATCTATGGAGCAGCGAATGACAATGGAGTGTGGAGAAGACAATACAACTTCGAATTTTATAGAATATACCAGGAACCTGATATCGTAAAACATATTAAGATAGGACGTCTGAGGTGGATAGGACATGTAATGCGGATGGAACAAAATGACCCAGCTAGAAGACTCCTTGATAGACCCATTGGTCAGAGAAGAAGAGGAAAACCTAGAACAAGGTTCCTAGATAACATCGATGAAGACATGAGAACTATGGGAATACGTGCTTGGCGAAGAAAGGCGATGGATAGGGACGACTGGGAGAAATTATTCAGGAGACTAGTACCCACGCATTGTTGTAAAGCCAGAATGATGATGATTTATTGATTAATGTATATTATTTAAATAAATATAATAATTATTATTAATTCATAAGTACAAAATGATTCATTAAAAAAATTATTTTAAAGCCATTTATTCTGAGTGTCTAAAAACTTGAAAGGTTAGTAGTTTCATATTTTAAATAAATTAAACAAAATTCAATAACTCCTTTATGGAAAAAATTAATTTATCTTCCCGGTATGTTCTGATTTTTCCGTGGTGAAAGGTGAAAGCAGATCAGTTCTTATTTTTCCGAACCAGCACCCTCTTTAAAAAACTGAATGTTCTGTGTGCCATAGAAGGCGATATATTACAAATTTTCCATTTTCAATTTGAAGTTCCATACTAAAAAACGGAACTCGGAAAGTTCTTCCCTCCACTTTAAAGTGGCGGCATTTTATGAGTATGAGAAGAGTAGAATGGAGGGATCATATAAGCCGAATGACAACAAATAGAGTAGTAAATACGGCAAGAGACGGTTCCCCAACAGGAAGACGATCGGTAGGAAGACCACGAAAACGATGGAATGACAAATTACTGGAGGCACATTGAAAAACAGGCAGTCATGTCTATATAAAAAGAAGAAGAAGAAGAAACGAGTTATAACTTTTTACACCTTCTATGGATCTATACCTTACATCATTACACCTTAATAAATAATAGAAATATGATGTTAAGAAAAAATGCTATCTAGGTTCCTATTGGCCATAGAAAGGTTTTTTTAAGATAAAAAAGTATTTTTTCACCACCTTTTCAGTGTAGCTACTTACAAGCACGTGACATAAAAATATAAAAATTATTATAAGTGTTTTTAAGCTAAAAAGTCGGCGCTTTCTTAAATGTTTTTTTTTAATAACAATTCTACTAAAAATTTCTTACACTTTACAAGCCTCAAAGAATCGATTGTAATCTGCTAAATACCTCTAGAGTCACTGTTTAAGCAAGTACAGTTGTTTAAAGAATCCATTTCCGGGATAAACAAATTGAATAATTTACAAACTATTTGGTCGATTTAGATGACACTTCAATAACTCATTATCATAATTTCAAATAGTTATATTACATGTCACGATTAAAAAAAACAACTTTATTATATAAACTGCTCAGGCAATAAAAGACGCAAAGAACGACACGGCACCCGGCGAAGACCTAATAACAGCCGAACATATTAAACACCTAAGTGATAATGCTGTCAGGAAATTAACATACCTCTGCAACATTATATATGAACATGGCATAATACCGCATGATTGGCTAACATCCACATATATAGCTCTTCCTAAAAAACAAAAAGCAAGGAAATGTGAAGACCATCGAACTGTATCCCTAATGAGTCATGCCGATAAGATTTTTATGCGAATAATTTATAACCGAACTCACAATAAGTGCGAAGAATTCCTGAGTCGTTCTCAATATGGTTTTAGAAAGGGTACAGGCACCTAAGAAGCAATTATGGGATTGACACTGATGGCAGAAAGATCTGTTGAGGTTCAAAAACGTCTGTATGTGTGCTTGGTCGATTAGAGAAAGGCCCTCGACCGCATCAAACAAGGAAAATTGATTAAGGTGCTAAAAGAAGTATGGTTGGACAGACACGACATAGCTATTATAAATAATACATATTGGAACCACACAGGATGCGTTCGAACAGAGAACGGAAACACCAATTACATCAACATAGAACGAGGAGTGCGTCAAGGGTGCATTTTGTCCCCCCTATTATTTAATGTATATGCTGAACATATAATTAGAGCTTCTCTTGAAGATCGTCCTGAAGGTGCCAGAGTCCGACAGAAGACCAACTAAAAATATTGATGAACATATTATCAGAAGAAAGTCACAGGTTGGGCTTGGACTTAACTTTTCCAAAACCAAAATTCTGGTATTCCACAAAAACCCCCATGAACAAGTTACACCTAACATACAAATAAATGGTATCACCCTTCAGAGTTCCCAGAGCTTCATATTTCTGGAAAGAGAGCTATATAGTCAACTAGACCACTCAAAAGAAATTAGAAGACGCATTGAAATAGCAACATCTGGTTTCATGAATATGCGTAAAATGCTCTGTAACCCCAAGCTATCAGTCTCAAAAAGATTGAGAACACTAAAGTGTTATGTGCGGTCTCTATTACTATATGGCTGCGAGACCTGGATATTAAAACAGTATGACGTCAACAAATTAAATTCGTTTAAAATATGGATGTACCGCCAAATATTAAGAATAAGCTGGACCAGCAGAACTACGAATGAAGAAGTACTGAGAGTAATGAACACACGCCCTCATCTGATCAATACTATCAAAATTAGAAAGACGTCATATATAGGACACATATTGCGCCATAAGGAATTTGAGCAGCTCCAGGTAATATTAGAAGGCAAGATTGAAGGTAAAAGGGGCATAGGACGAAAGAAAAAAACCTGGTTACGAAACATCACAGATTGGACCCACACAAGAGAAAATGAATTAATTCATCAATCCCATAACAGAGAGAAATTTGCCATATTGATCGCCAACCTCAACAAAGAAGGCACTTGGGAGGAGGATATAAACTGCTGCAAGAATAAGCGACCTCCACAGAGAGATGGCGAACTCTGGATAATTATAGGTATGACACGATATGGGCGCACTTCCATGCCTAACGATATTTGATTGTAACTCGTGGGAATAAAATGGACACAGAAACAAAAAGAAGAAGAGATGGGTACAAGAGGAGTCAAGTAAGTGATTGTTATGAGTTTAAAAATAAAAAAATTAAAATATAAGGAAAACAAGTAGATAGACGACTCCGGCCGCAGACTCTGGCCCGAATAGGTACCAGACAGGAAAAAAATTGGCCGGTACTGTATGTGTTAATTTTAATTAATTCTCCTATATTGTTTATTACTAAAACTTTCTATGATCTTGCCCCCTGTTTCCTATAATTAATTACTAGATAAATAACTTTGATCTTTATTATTGTAATAAATTGTCTATCATATCTAATCTTCGAAAGAGCCAAATTTGAAATTCTCCTAATATTTTCATTGCGTATTCTATATTCTCATTATATACAGCAGGTTCAGGGAGAGTGTTATGTTATTATTGCAAAAATATAATTTGTCTAAATACATATTAGTGCTTTTCATTGTTATCATAAATTTTTAAGCCAAACTAAACAAAAACATGCAATATTTATGGTATACCCAAAAAATAAGAGACAATACACATCAAATAAGTGAATTAAGTCAAAGAGAAACTATATACACTATAAAAATTCTAAACTTACCTTGCACTGTGTGTGCGAATAGCTCTTCCGGAGTATCGCCAAAAAAGGGAACACAACCAACAAGAAATTCATAGAGAATAATTCCCATTGACCACCAATCAACCGGTTTTCCATATCCTTGTCTTAAGATTACTTCTGGTGCTATGTATTCGGGAGTACCAAAGACTTGTTTGTCTGAAAATTTTCTTGAGTCCGTATCCATGTACCCTTCATATAAGTTGGTTGCCACTAAAATACACACATCTATATCGTCTAGGGGGCAAAGTAATCAAAAAGTGATTAAATGGTACTCTGACAATTTATTTGGAAAAAATAGCAAATAAAAAAAAATAAAAAATAAAATAATAAAAATATATAATAAATAAAAAATAAATTTGGAATAAATAATAAAAAAATAAAACCCTTCCAGCTCCGGTGACACGTATGCGCATCCAAATATGAGTGGTTGGTTCTCTCAAGGCGTAAGCGCGCTTTGTGTATATTTATATTCAAACGAAATTATTTCTGCGGCGATGGAGCTAAGGTTTTTTAATTTTAACCGGAGCTGAATTGGTTAACGATAAATTGTAAATAATACAGAGGGTTTAAAAAATTGAAAAAAAAATTTAAACAACTAAAGTCGTTAGTGTAGTGTATGAGCCTTCTGTTATTAATGACATCTCGACATCGACCTGACAACACTAATCCTTCGTATTTTTCTCCTCGTAAACACGTCTTTTTAGATTATCCCAAACGGGCTCGAAGGGTTTCGAGTCAAGGGAATGAGTAGGCCAGGGCAATAGCTGAATATTGTTCTGCTCTAAAAAATTTCTCACGATTCTTGCAACATGCGGACGTGCATTAGCACAAAATTTTCTTCCAATTATGCAGCGTATGGACGAACAATAGGTTCAAGAATATGATCTCAATATTCATTTGCTGTTAAAAATCCTTCAATATGAACGAGATCATTTCGAAAACTTATTGAAACTCCAGTCAAAACCATCAACGTTCTACTTGATATCTGTCAACTTCTTGACCGGTTTGCATGCGATATGCGTTGCCGGGTGTTCGCCACACCCTTGATCTTCGTGAATCGTGTCGTAAATCAAACCTGGATGGATCGCTGAAAAGAATGTTTACCCAATCTCGTTGTTGCCCAATTTGATGTTTTTCAGAACATCAGATTGCAGGGCACTTTGTTCGGTCATTTTCGAAGCCAACAGATGAATTCTCACCCCCACTACGCGATAAGGAGTTAAATTGGGAAGGACATCCAGAAAACTAATTAGCTATACAGTTGCTATGTAGCCTTGATAACTTCTTGCCACTGAAAAATTGGCAAATGAAACTAGCAACGAGGTTCTGCGATACCAAAACCAACTCTCCTCATTCTGCTAAGGTTGACAGTAGACTGTCTCATTTGCTGGGATCGATAAACTGTCACCTACCTCCCAAAACTCCCAATTCTTATCAATATAAACGTTGGAGAATTGCATCATAAAATCCGCAATATTATCGGAGATCTCTCCCTACATTTACCTCTGAGATGGTCGATACAGCACTCAAAAACTCACCTCTGCTCCTAAAAACCTTGCTATGCTTCCAACAAAATATATAGCTATATTTTTAAATAATTTAACTGGTATTCAAGTATGTTACCTGATGTAGCACTGAATCTTCTTATATAGACATGACTCTGTCTGTTTTTCAATGTGCCTCCAGTAAGTTATCGTTCCATCGTTTTCGTGGTCTTCCTATTGATCGTCTTCCTATTGGGGAACCGTCTCTTGCCGTTTTTACTACTCTATTATTCCGCTTATATGATCGTTTCATTCTACTCTTCTATTTTTTACCCAGTTCTTGATGTTCTCCACCTTGCATCTACGTCGTATATCTGTACTAGCTCTGTCCCATAGTGTTTTACCATCAATTTTTCTAAGTGTTTTCATCTCTGCTGTTTCTAACATCCTTTTTGTCCTCTCTGTATCAGGTCTTGTTTCTGCCGCGTATGTCATTATGTATTGATAACTGTTTTGTAAATTCTGCCTTTCGTTTCTTTCCCGATATTTTTATATCGGGAAAGAAACGCATTTTTATATCAAAATTTTTATATCGCCTGTGAACTAATGCCGTGCAGTCGTGATGTACAGTGTTCCATGTTCTTTGCTACACAGCCTACAGTGTAAGTCTCCATGAAACACCCTTGTATGCAGAATATTTTTTCATTGAGTGGTATGTTGTACTTCTAGCTCTGTCCCATAGTGACTTACTATAAATTTTTCTCTGTTCCATATCTGCTGTTTCTAACATCCTTTTTGTCCTCTCTGTGTCAGGTCGTGTTTCTGTCGCGTATGTTATTATTGGTCTGATGATTTTTTTATAAATTCTGCCTGTCATTTCTTTTCCGATATTTTTATTTCTCCATATTGTTTCATTTAGGCAGCCTGCGGCTCTGTTTGCTCTATTCACTTGATCTTCAACTTCGGTTTCGAGCTTTCTGTAGCTAGATAATGTGATGCCTAGATATTTTAACTACATCACTTGTTCTATTATCTGACCTTCCAGCTCCAATTTACATCTTAGTAAATTTGCTGTTGTAACCATGCATTTTGTCTTTTTTGGAAAAATTCTTCTTCTTCTTCGTGCGACTAGGATTACTCCTGTTTGTCTGCATCTTATTCTGTTTCAGTCGTTGTTGACTGTACAATATTTTCCACCTTTTTGGCGGCCTTCCAACGGGTCTTCTGCTATACGGTTTATTGTTTTTACAGATGTTCGCTAATCTATCTGGAAAAATTAACATGTTAAATTTTCTGGTGGTTATATTAAATTGGTGCAGCATACGTTGTAAATCAACTTCACATTTGAGAGAGTAGCATTGCGCCGTCTGCATAGCAGATTATTTTAAGTTGTTTTTCTCCCATTTGGTATCTTTTTTAGTTCTTACTTTTTTTATTATTTCATCCATAATCAGGTTGAACAATAGAGGACTTAATGAATCTTTCTGTCTTACCCCATTGCCAGTTTCAATAGGGTCGGTTAGTTCTTCTACTTTTACTTTTATTGTGTTGTTTTGGTAGATATTTTCGATCGTTTTGATTATTCCTAGAGGTATCTCTCTTGCGTACAGTAAGTGGATAACGTCTTTTAATTTGACCCGGTCAAAAAAAAAAAAAACAAAAAACAAAAAGATTATTTATTAATAATTCTAACAACACTATTCCCATAAATAAGCTAGTAATCCGCCAGAGAAAGTTATTAAAAAGTTAATTATTTAAACCATAAATCCGACAAAAACCTAACTTTTCTGTATAATACAATGTAAACTGGAGCAGAGTAGGACTTAACGGCAGAAACAATAGATGTCATACATACCATTCAGAAACTTATTCATATAAAATAAGAATTGATCTGATTTTTTACGACGTTTAACAAGCAATCGATTCAGTAAAAAAATAGAGGTTGCTGTACGCACTGTAAGACTTTAGAATATTAGAAAGAACAATACTACGGATAATAATATTAGGACTAAGAAAAATAATTGAACGAATTTAAACAACTAATATACCATGGACTACTAAAAGTTATTGAAGATATAGTGTGTAAAATAAAGCAACATAACAAAATGGCTACGACATATATGTAGAGTAGGATCAACTATGACCATATTTTCAATATCACATGTCTTTAAGGCATGCCATTACATAGGACCTCAACAAGGCTTGTATGTAACAGTGCAAAGGAAACAACCAGAGAGAGGAAACTATGTACAAAATAATTTACAAAATTAAACAAGAAACGAGTACCCTACATCATTAACAGATACCTATGGAGCTTTAAAACCGAAGGAACGCCTGTAGTGGCGTTTATCCACTCTATATAAATGTTTGTCGACTTATCATTTATATGTACCTACTTGCGAACAGTGCTTGCGTTTAAACATAAATTATCCTTTTTTGCAAATTTGTCAACTGATTTTATCAATCAAGTTTTTGTTACCTCCTGTTCCACAATAACTGTTATAGTAATGTGGTATGACCAAATCTGGGACGTTATTCTATATGTACATTGTACGAGCCTGTGAAATAAATTATATAATATGAATTGTTAATGTAAAAAAATATACTTACATGACATTAGACCAACCTTGCTCAATCCGAAGTCTGTAAGTTTGATGTGGCCAAGTGCTGTTATCAAAAGACTGAAACAAAAACCAACAGTTTTAATCTTAAAACTTAATAAAAATATAAACAAAATTATTTAAAAATCCCTTTATAAAGTGCTATCTGGATGTACATGTTTTGAGGTACTAAATACTTGGGTAACACCCCTTTAAATGTTATTAAATTAACTTTAAGTTACGTTATTTCGTTTTATAAACTAGGATGTTTAAGTTACAACAGGAATAGATGGCATGGCAACGTAAGACTCCACTTAAGTTTGCTAGTCCTGAGGCGAAGTGTCTACGAGGACTTGTTGATACCTTTTATAAAGGAACTTTTAAATAATTTTTTTGTGATACATGGTTTACAGCCAGCTACAGGAATTTAGTTTCCTTGAGTAATTTAATATAAATATATAGTCCGTCTAGAAAGTATTCGGAAAAAAGAAAGAATTATAATTTTACGGTATTTATTTCTATAACTTGAAATATAAAATTTCAACAAATAATTCATCTCATTTACTTATACAATCTCCATTTAAATCTAAACACTTAACTAAACGTCCAGGTACACCCGAAACTAGGTCAAGGACATAATTTTCGGTAATGGTGTTCCACGCCTGTAAAACTGACCGAATCAAACCTTTATCTCATGGCGCTGCTCGTTCTACTTCAATGTTTATCAGTCTCCACATGTTTTCAATGGGGCTAAGATCTGGAGATGTTGCTGGCCATGGAATTGTTGCCAATTCGTGTTCTTGCATCCAAGCTTGAGTATAAGCAGAAGTATGGCATCTTGAATTATTTTGCTGAAAACGCCACCCCTTTGGATATAAAACATGAGCCGTTTCAAGAAGAAAACCATTTAGGATGTCACAATATTTCGCACTATCAACAGTACCATTAACTATACAGAGAGGTGTAGAACCACGCTGAGATATTGCTCCACAAACCATTATTTTAGTGGGAAATTTGGAAATTTGAACGGTAACATTTTCTCTTGAACTATTAGATGATTTGCACCAAGCTGGAAACAACTTTCATCAGATATAAATACATTATTAAAATTATGTTCTCGAAAACGTTGATAAAAATCTATTCTTCGTTGCCTTTGCAGAGGTGTCATTGTAGGGATTTTTTTTGATTCCTTGATATGTAGCCTTGCTTTTTCAGTGACATGCGGACAGTTTCTGGGCACACTTTTTTGTCCCCTACACGGGTATCTAGGCACGGATTTTGTCGTCCTAAAGCCACTAAAGCATTTAAATTGTTTCCGCGAATCTTAAGCGGTCTACCCGAAACTGGTCTATGTCTTATATCTATGCCATTTTTATCCTCTTTATTGTCTCATACACCGCACTTTTTCCGAGTTCAGTCAATTGCACTAATTTTTTAACGTTTAGGATACCCTTTCTATACAAATATTCCACCACTTTTCTTTTTTCTACTTGCGACATTATTTCACAAATCTTAAGTCTGTTAAAAACAACAATATTTGACAGATGGTGTTGTCATGCGATTTTGTCCCTAATCTACTATCGGCACAACCTACTTGATGCGTTACTTTTGTCTTGAAATGTTACAAAAAGGAAATCTATTAAAAATGAGGAAAAATATAAAATTCCGGATACTTTATAGACGGACCATATTATTCTGCATTGAAAACAATCACCTTTTCTGATTTTATTTATTCCATAGTCGAAGCCACAGTTAGACTGTAGTGCAGGTAAGATAGGCAATGTATTTGTAATACGACCACGTTGCCGGTTTGACCCGAGCGGCGCATCAGGACCGGATTTAAGAATCACAGCACTGGAATATACGAACACAAAACAATTGCCTACAGTTGTGCAACAGACTATCATTATTGTTTAACTAACGAATGATTCAATCAGCGATGTATAAATAAGAGAGTTACATTGTCGGACTAAACAATAACATAAAAATACTATAAATAAGTAAAATATATATCAACAACTCATTGTCGATAGCTTATCTATATTTATCAATTTTCAATAGCAGTTTAAATCCCCATTGACCAAGCAAGGCAAACATGTCTCTTTGTCGATTTGGGTACTGGCCATTAGACCAAAAACTTGTTGACAAAAACTATGAAAGCTCAGTTCTACTTCATTTTCGCAAGCGGATGAAAGTCATCATGGAGTATCTGTCGTGAATTTCAAACAGGGTATGACTCTTAGGGCTGATTGTTCGAACGCTAATCAAAACTTGATTGTAATCAAATATTTCTTTAAGATCAAGTACGTCACATTTTAAGGTTGTGTTGATGGATTTATTTTATTCAATTTTATTATTTTGCGTTTTGATTTTTAATAAACCTTAATTAAACTCTTACTGATGTTAATTTCATGTTTTTATTTACAAATTAATAATAATAATAAGCAATTTTTAATAATTTTGACAGCTACTGTGACGTCACAGCAACTTGGATCAAGTTTTGATTAGCGTTCGAAAAATCGGCCCTTAGTGTGCAAGTAAAACGTGTGCTGTTAAATGTATTCAACTATCATCTGAACTTAAAAAATGGTGACAGCTAGACTATTACTGTGAAAAAACCTTCGAAAATGTGTGGCGTGAATGTTCACAAAATTTATGACATCCGCGAAGAGCCCAGCAAGGCAAACTGAAACCGGTACAATAAAGGAAGTAAAACAGTTTCCAGTTCAATTCACGTGAGAATACTTACGATGGGGGAGTGAAATATCGAATAAGGAAAATTTTCCATGACTTTTTTTGGAAAACATACCACCAACCGCCGACAGCATAATGAACAGAGTGAAGAATAATGAGGTCCTACCAGCTTTTTCAAAAACCACATTTTGTAGGTACTAAATGACATGGGTTTTGAATATGGTAAAAGAGGTCGAGATTCTATAATGATGGAAAGAAAAGATATATCCTGGAGACACAAGTACCTCAGACAAATAAAAGCATTGAGGAAGAAGGATAATGTAAACCTTGTTTCTACCGATGAGTCTTGGATTAACGTCGGTGCTTCAGTCAAAAATGAATGGAAGTACACAACGATCAAGAATCCACGAGATATCTTCATAAAAGAGCCGAATTAACTTTATTGGCCAAGAAGAGAACCGTTAATTACCACGACGAAATGGACGGGGATCTATATGAAGAATGGTTTAAGAAGACGTTAATTTCAAACTTACCGAAAAACAAAGAAAACGTTGTCGTTTTGGATATCGCGTCATACCCCTCCTGCCAATTTGATTTTCCGAAAAAATTGTGGAACAAAAGGCAAATTAACGATTGACTAATCGAAGAGAGCATTTTCTTCGAGGAAGATTGCCTAAAAAGTGAATTACTGGATACTGCGGCTGTATTTAGAGACGAGTACGACAAGTACAAAATTGAAACAATTGCGGAAAAATATGGCGTTCAGATTTTGAGACTGCCGCCTTACCATTACGAGCTCAACCCGATTGAGATGATGTGGAGAATTAATTTGTTTTTTTTTTGTTTATTCTCTTATTTCACTCAGTAATGAGTAAAAATTTTTGAAATTAAGCGCGTCTGGTCCTGATTTCTCGGTCTATCGCCAAACCACCACACACCTACAACTGTGTTGACATGATCGGCATCGCTGCGCACCGTAAGACCAACACTGCATTCTAACTGTGGCTTTTACTACAGTATCTTTCAATGTCCCGAGAAAGTCAGTAATATACACTTGAGTGCAAAAAAATCGACTCAAAATTATTTTGCGAAAGATTATTTATTAATAATTCTAACAACACTATTCCTATAAATAAGCTAGTAATCCGCCAGAGTAAGTTATTAAAAAGTTAATTATTTAAACCATAAATCCGACAAAAACCTAACTTTTCTATATAATACAATGTAAACTGGAGCAGAGTAGGACTTAATGGCAGAAACAATAGATGTCATCCATACCATTCAGAAACTTATTCATATAAAATAAGAATTGATCTGATTTTTTACGACGTTTAACAAGCAATCGATTCAGTAAAAAAATAGAGGTTGCTGTACGCACTGTAAGACTTTGGAATATTAGAAAGAACAATACTACGGATAATAATATTAGGACTAAGAAGAATAATTGAACGAATTTAAACAACTAACATACCATGGACTATTAAATGTTATTGAAGAGTGTAAAATAAAGCAACATAACAAAATGGCTACGACATATATGTAGAGTAGGATCAACTATAACCATATTTTCAATATCACATGTCTCTAAGGCATGCCATTACATAAGACCTTAACAAGGCTTGTATGCAACAGTGCAAAGGAAAAAACCAGAGAGAGGTAACTATGTACAAAATAATTTACAAAATTAAACAAGAAACGAGTACCCTACATCATTAACAGATATCTGTAGAGCTTTAAAACCGAAGGAACGCCTGTAGTGGCGTTTATCCACTCTATATAAATGTTTGTCGACTTATCATTTATATGTACCTACTTGCGAACAGTGCTTGCGTTTAAACATAAATTATCCTTTTTTGCAAATTTGTCAACTGATTTTAGTTTGTCAACGATCAAGAATCCACGAGATATCTTCATAAAAGAGCCGAATTAACTTTATTGTAATAAATCTATATTACTTCCGTTTGAAGCAGATAGGGATGTAAGTAATTGTTTGTACGATTTCTTTTTAAACAGTGATTTCCAGTGATTTTTCCACTTCCCCAGGTTCAATGGACCGGCCAGACCCTAGACTTTAAAACGTGGAAAACCTTGAATAGGATAAGAACGGGGGTTGCTACAGTAAAATCAAACATGGCAATAGACCAAGATGATGTGAACTGTGACTGTGGAGAAATACAGAATATGGAACATCTTCTTACATGCAGAAACTGTCCTCATCGATGTAACCTTGAAGATTTGTGGCTCGCCAACAAGGATGGAACCGACGTAGCCCGATACTGGGCCGAAATTTTATGAATGACATGTCCGGACACGATAAAGTAAAGTAAGTTAAACAGTGATATAAAATGTTGTAAGCAATATTTAATTTTACATTTTTAAACAATCATATTTCATTTTGAGTAAAACGTGAGGTTATATGGAAGTTTTTATTTTTAGAGAGTACCAGCGGCGTTAAATAAGTCCTCCCTTGTAAATAAAATTGCAGCAAAGACCAATAATGGTGAACCATTAAGAAGCACATAGCATAAAAGAAGAAAAAAAGATACAAAATTACAAAAACTACAAGCGAAATTAGCAGAAAGTGATATTTTTAGTGGTAGTCTTACTTCTCTATAAAAAATTGTACGCCATATTAGTTTTCGTTATAAAAAATATGATCCACGACGTGGTTTAATGGAGTTACATAATATTGTTTTTAAAACACATATATTTCTGCAGCAGTATGCGAAACTATAAAATGAAGTCTATTCACATTTGTTTTGTTGGTCAAGACATGGATTTCAAGATGGTACTATTAGTCGTTCTTAGCAAGATTCAAGTGACAAAAGTGTTAAGAAAACTAAAGTCAGTGGCGCAAGGTATATTTTTTGATTGGCGCAAATATCTTTTGTTGAAATTTTTAAATTTAAAAGAAATAAAAACATTTAACAATTTACTTTAAAACAAAAACGAAATGGTTTTGGGAAGCTGTGCTTTGTTTCATCATTCTTTTTTTTTTAATTAAAATGAATGTACAAAAAATCAAACTCATCAATATTATACTGCCGCACTTCAAAAGAATATTGTTTGTAGCATTTACCATTACCTTAAATAATAGCCAATTGCATAATATTAAATTTATATTATATTTGATAGTTTAAATTATTTTTTAGATATATATTTTATTCAGGAAATGTGCAGGAAATTGTAATGGGTTTATTATAATGGGTATTTAAAAATATATGTAGGAGAATCTGAAATAAAAGAATGGTTGAAAAATAACAACGAATAAACAATATTGCACATGAACAAACAATATTAAAATCTCAATTGCTTGAACTGATCCAGAGGTATGTTTTTAATAAAGTGTGTGCCATTGGATAGGCTTTTAATATTTCATTGCTTATAGGAATAAGCCAGAACCAATATATCAGGTAGGTAGAATAGCTTCAATCAATGGATCAATTAGGACAAGTGGCTATTTTTCCTAAGATACTTAAATTGTTTCCCTACAATCCGGGGAAAAATTCGTAGATATTACAACAAAGTAAGTATTTACTGTTAAAACATCATATCATATTGGTATCAGTGTCAAATTATAATATATTTATCTTATATTCGAACAACTAAGCTAAGCTAGAAATGAAAGGTGCATCGAAACTTTGGGCAAAATGGACATGACACATAGTAGCAAAATAGCATGGAAGCTGTGACTCTAAGAATCATAAAATACCTTGCAAGGTTACAGTGATTTACTAGGATAATATCGTGATAATAATAATATAGGGATAATATAATAGGATTACTAGATAATACAAGGTTACTTTCCTAATATTGGGATGTAATGCCAATGTCACTAAATGTGATAATGCCGTATATGGTATAACATCAGGATTTATACAAGGAGAACACTTATCAGCGTTGCTATTAAATTTGACTTTAGAACATGCAATAAGTAAAATATAATCTGAGCTGACAGGGGGATTTGAGAATCGAAGACTAAAACTATTGTTTGCTGTTGCTGATGATCTAGATACAGTCGCTCATTCTACAAGAGACCTGAGAGATGTGTTTTCACAACTCGAGGAGGAAACAAGTAGTCTGGGTCTTCGAATAAATGACGAGAAGTCGAAATACATGGTAGTAACAAAAAATCCAATACCAAGAATTAGGCAGAACATAACTATTAATGACCACAACTTTGAAGTATTAAAAGAGTTTAAATATCTGGGGGTATTCACAGATGGCAACCACATAAAAAAAGAAATCTCAGCAAGGATAGCTACGGGGAATAAAGTACTATACTCCTTATCATCATTATTAAGATCTAAGCTGCTAAAAAAATCGAAATTAAGACTGTACAAAGTTAATTATTCGCTCAGTTGTTACTTATGGAAGTGAAACATGGACTCTACATCAGCGGGAAATAAATAAGTTGCGGGTACTTGAAAGGAAGGTTCTCAGAATGAGATGGCGCCGCAATGTTGAATTTGTGACTGTATAGTACTGAAAACATCGTCAGACATATAAAAGCTAACCGGATAAGATGAGCAAGTCATTTGGTAAGGTCGGAGGAAGACAAAGTGCTACAGACAATGTTTTTTGAGATACCAGACGGTAGAAAATCAGTAGGCCATCTCAGAAAAAGATGGAAGGATTATATTAAAGCCGATTTATCTACGATTAGGGTACAACCATGGGAAATGGAAGCACAAGATCGTAAGGAGATGGAGGGCTCTAGTGGATGAAGCGAAGACTCACCCAGAGTTGTAAAGCCAATCAAGAACAAGAATAATGCCAATGTCACCATCCTGGTATAGGGAAGCATCAACATCTACAGAAGATGAATATTTATTACAGATTCTGACATGTCGAACAGATCGCCCGACCTCCTGTAAAACCAACATTCAGAAAGTCAGACTGAGAAAACTATAAAGTCACACGTGGAATGCCGCTTTAGGGAAGAATACTGGCCAAGAAACAAAAGATATAAATAGTGGCCAACAAAACAAGACGTACTTACCACAAAAGCTTACAGCAGATGTATGGCTATTTAATAGGCCAAATCCAATCAGGAGAGGAATATTTATAAAGAAAAACTAAGCAAAAAACAACAACACACATTTTCTTAGTCTAGAAAGGATTCAATAAGGAAATGGCCATTGGGTACCGAAATCCGGAGATCACAGAAGATTAGATGGGTGAATAAATTGCAGTCATACTGGTGATCGATAGAACTAGCGGTGGATGATCTTAACAGATTCCTTTTAAACTCACTAGAAGGCCGGAGATATAGGACGTGGAAGGAACTTTTAATAACGTCTTCTTCGAGTTCATAACGGAAGCACTTAGAAGAAGAGTGGCCCCTGTGGTAAAGCCATCATTGAGGCGATGGTAGCCCACAGGGCGCAGTATCTCTAATGCTGTGGCTCATACAGATGGAAGGAATATTATTAGCGAAGCTGTCCAGGAATGTTTTTACTGCCTTGGATATCCAGAAAACCTGGCAATCGTGGTCAAAGGAAGTTTTACCAAAACAATCTCGAAAAACCCGACATGAGAAAGATGGACAAATGGTGGTGTGAAGGCCTAATGATTAACCCCCAAAAATACCAGTTATCGTCTGTACTAAAAGAAGAACACTACAAGGACTTTTTCACCGGTACTCAGGGATTGAAGATTTCATTTGCAAGTACAAAGGTGTCATATTCGGGAAGAAGATCACATCGAAACTATACATACCAAATGTTAAACAGAAGGTTGTAATCGCCAAAACAAAAAATGAAATGGTTGTATGCAATAATGGCCATGATAACTGGATCAGTGGCTTGGTGCAACAAAACACAGCAGTCTAGTAGTTCGACTGATTAGTAGCATTCAAAGATTTGCATGCTTCAGTGTCAACCTTTCCACCTTTCAGTTTTATAGGAGGGAGATGCAAAGTCTTAATACACAGGCTGCTACAGGGTAAGGCTCCTATAAGTGTAATGCAAGGGACATAATAAGCAAGGTCGTGTCGGAAAATAAAGACAGATCCTGTTTTAGAAATACCCGCCTGCCCGAAATGGTTCAGAGATATAACTTACAAAAATTTTCAACTTTTCAAAAAGAAGTGAGAAACCGGTACGCAAGTAATAAGCTCTTCGGTTCCAAACGCCAGTAATAATAGACGATTCCAAAACTAACATTCTGGCTGTTTGAATGTCGTTACTCGGTTTCAAAGTCTAAATAGCTTGACAGTAGACTGGGTATCGGGCCATAGGGGCAACAATAAGACTGAAGAACTTGCCTGTAAAGGGACACTAACTCCAGTAGTTTGCCCAGTACCCTTCTTAGGAATTGCGAACACAGAAAAGCGTAACCAATGATATGGTGCAAAATAAGTCTCGAAGGTTGGGGAAATGCATCAAGACAGAGGCAAACTAAAATGTTTATCAAGAGGCATTCAGACAAAGGTTAAGATAGACCTCCCCATGATCGAATTTTGCATATCTTAATGGGGGTATACGCTTTACAGCAGACTCACTAAGATATAGCCGAAAAATTATTAGGATAATAGCTAGAGTACTGACTGGACACTGTAGGCTCAAAAAGATTTTGGTAGAGTATGTCTAGATTATGAGGAGACCGCAACAATACTATGATATCTAAACATCCACAAGCATCAGGCTATATGCAGACATCACTATTAAAGCTGTGAAACCTCATCAAGAGGACCGCCCTAGATGAAGGAGCTTTATTGATAAATAAGTACAATAGATTTGCAAAATTCATTGTGCGTTAGTCTGTTGCCTCCAGATTTCTACCTATCTAAATTAATAAGATGTAAAATCCACTAGGAAACTAAGTTCCTGTAGCTGGCTGTATACCATATATCACAAAAAATTTATTTCAAATCCTTTATAAAAGGTATATAATAAAGATGTAAAATGAATTATAATTTTATCTTAGTAAAATGTTTTGCTTCTATATAAATAAAAGGTAAATGATAAACTTACTTATCAGGTTTTAGATCTCTATGCACTATCCCATAAGAATGTAAGTACTCAACAGCAAGTACGGTCTCAGCAAAATAAAATCGTGCCATATCAGCTGGTAGGACTCCAATATTTTTTAACAAACTAGCACAATCGCCTCCTTCAACATATTCCATCACCAGACAGAGATGCTTTTTAGTCTCGAAACTGCAATACATACTGACTACAAAAGGATTGTCTGCAAAACTAAGGATATCTCGTTCAGCAAAAACTTGTTCTACCTGATTGCGCAACATTAAGTTGTTTTTGTTGATCTTTTTCATTGCAAATCGTAATCTGGTTTGTTTATGCTTCACCAAGTATACCGCTCCATAGGCACCATTTGAAATCAGTTTGGCAACTTCAAAATCATGTTCGTTTGGATTACACAGGGTCTTCCTCATAGTGGGAGTTGTGTTCAAAACTACTGGCTTGTTCTCATTCGACCAGTTACAATCTCGTAGTTCCTGTTGAAGTTCTGCTATCGGATCTCGATTTAAACCCAATTTCTGTATAATATATTGTGGAATATCTGCTTTTATACCTTGAACACCTTTTACCTGGCCCTCTGCTGCCTCTAGAAAGTGGTAGAATTCTTCTGGATCAAACTCCAAACATTCTAATAAACGGGCCGGCCGAGATATGATTAATAAAAGTTTCTTTATAAAACTTGTCAATAAGTTAGCTGCACCTTCTGATTTTTCTCTAGTCTAAAATAAAGTTTAAATATTAGTTTACATACTACTTGCAAAAGAAGTAAACAAACTAAGTGATATATGTACAATGCGTATACTGTGGCTCACGAGAGTTTACGAAATCTGGGGGATTATAGCATTGTCATGGTATGGGAAAAACTCGTGGAAATGAAATGGACGTGGAGACAAAAAGAAAAAGAGATAACTTTTCTGTAGAAGGTGTAACGTTATAAACGTCACATCGTTCATGGGCTGTAATAGTGACACATCTCAAAGAACATGTGTTTTGGACTAGGAATAGCTGTAAATGTTAAAATACACATTATTTTCAGCATCAATATCGGCACATTTCATAATTCAATATTAGGCAGTAAGATGTATTATGTGATTAGTCCCAAATATTGGCTGTATTACTGATACTACTCAGTTTGCGTCCAAAGCTCAATAGGATCAGGGTACGTTCTTGTCATCAACAATGGCAGGTTTTGAGTTGTGCCAGTATTGCTGGGAAGCGTTGTTATTTATTGAATCGGTTTAAAATTGTGGTTTTATTGCAAGAATATTTTAAATAAAATATATTATTTTTAAACTTTAGTTAAGTGAAAATAACGAGTGCAAATTACGGAAGCCCGTGTAGAGTTAATGCTGGCTAAACTTGGCATTCGATAAGTATCTTAAGTACTTAAGTTTTTTGATAATGATAATATCATTACGTCATATTATTTCTTCTTGCATTTCATAAAATTATAAAATTTACAAAGGAAAATTGATAATTTAAATTATTAGATTTGATAATTTAAATATTATTTTTAGCCTTGTTGGAATAAGTAAAGAATAAGTAAATTTACTATTAATTTTTAAACTGTGTTCAGAAAAATTTTTATATAAGTAATATGTTGGATTAACTGGTTTAATTTTGAGTTCATGCGCACTGTGTGCGAATGTTATCGTTAACTTTAAGCGCTATGTTGTATGTTTTTAATTTTCATTAAACTCATCTAAAAACGTTTGTTATATTATTTATATATTAAGTTAAAATTCTAATTAGCCTGGTGAGAGATCAAAAGGACAACAGAACGGAAAGCTGGAGCATAGTGTCATCACAGGCCACTTTCAGTGAGAATCTTCAAGACAAGGATGAATCAATGATACCAACATTTATTAAAATGTGGTAGAGCAAGTAGGACTTTTCAACTTTTTGAAAAATTGGTACTTAATTTTTATTTTTAATTCAATTTTAGTTTAGAAACTGTTCAAACTGATAAAAGAGGAGTATTGCAGAATTTAACTTCTCTTCCAGATAGTGCTGTATTCACAACTGCATCAATTGGTAATTCTTGTTGATTCTCAGTCTTCATCCACATCTGAGAATAACCAAACGAAGTCAAACAGAAAAGAACCAGAAGCCTAAAAGCCGAAAGCGGAAAGCAGCACCAGGACAATGGAAGATAAATCGAGCCAAAATATTGAGGAATAGAAATACGTGGCCGAAACGTTCGCCCTCTTTGTAATACTAAATGTTGATTGAAATGTTTCAATAAATTTTTGGAGGAGGAAAGAATCATCATTTTTCAGAATTATTGGGCACTGACATGACCTAGTAGATAAACAAAGAGCTTTTATTGCTCGGCCCTTTCAAGAAATTCAACCATGGTATAGATACCCAAAACAAGTGAACAAGACAAGAAACCTTAATAACGCTATATGCTTTGAAAAAATGGAGAAAAGATAAGGGTATGCAAATTATTTTTTGCTGCAACCCTAGACATTTCTAACAGATGCATTCTAAAACAATAGACAGTTTCTTAATATATATATATATATATATATATATATATATATATATATATATATATATATATATATATATATATATATATATATATATATATATATTCGTCTTGGAAAGTCACCACACTCGTCAGCATTCTTCCAAAAAGTTCATTGAAGGTGGGAAATCAGTGGCCCAATTGTATAGGGGTTACCAAAAGTTCTGTGAAGAGGAAAGAAAACCTGTGGGAAAATTAACAATGTATAAGAGAATATTTAACTATGAATTCTTCTCTCCCATAAAGGACGATGTGCATGTGACATGAATCTGTTTTTTTTTTCGTGGAATTTATGACTTTGGCGAAAACCAATTAGCCAGACTATGTTAGATTGAATCATTAATTAGTGTAAAATGTTTCATAGTATCAAACCTGAGCATAATGTATTCATTTGTTTTGTTAGTAATATATAAAATGAGTAAGGTGTTTAATATTTTTTTATTATTATTTTTATTTTCTTTAATTTTATTTGGTACATTAATAATTTTTTTTTGGCGCTAGGGCGTCAACCCGGTTCATCCCCTCGGAGGTTTCAGCCCTCTTTGTGTGTGTTTTTTTTTCCTATAATGCTTTACATTTAGTTTCTTTCGCAGAATTGCTTACAAAATTGGTTAGTAATTTTACAGTTTAAGTTTACAGTTTATGATGTGTTGATGAAGTACATAAAGGATATCATTATTTCCTGAAAAAATAATACAATTTAGGTCTATTGGAAGGTTTATCTTCTTGTAGTGAATTAAGTTTTTATATAGTTTATTAATGTTTACATTATTTATTGGACATTCAAGTAAAACATGTACTAATGTACCCATTTTACCACAACTACAATGTGGATCGTCTGTAATTTTCATTTTGTGGTTATAATAAGGTGTTAGTGCATGATTAGCACGTACTCGATTTATTGTGGTGACAAAGTTTCTGTTTGGTATTTTGTGAAACCATGGTTTTCTGGGAAGTTTTTACTGGAGTTTACAAAAGTTTGTTCCGGTTGTTGAAGCGTTGTATAGGTTTTGCCACATCTCATTTATTTTGTTTCCTTGGTTTAAGAATAAGTCGGACGGGGGTAGTTTAAGATTTAGTTCTTCTCGTGATGTTGGGGCTGTTTTTGCTAAGGCATCTACTATTTCATTACCTGTTATACCTGCGTGTCCCTTTACCCATAGATATGACGACTTTATTCTTGATGTGTATCTCATTATGTAAATACAGGATATTTGCTTCAATATGATTAACTGATCTATTTATGTTTACTTTTTTAAGTTTATCTACTGCACTTTTGCTGTCCGTACATATTATGAATTTGTCGTGGTTAGAGCCGAGTATGTATTTCATAGCTTGCACTATTGCTGTTAATTCTGTAGTGTATATGGAAGCTTCCTTTGTTAGAATAAATTTTTTGTCAGCATTTTCTTCCAAATGGTAAAAAGCACAGCTGGTATATTCTTTTGACTTTGATCTATCAGTGAATATAGAATCATAGTTTGGCCAGTATTTGTTTTTTGTTTCGTTAAACTTTGTTTGATTGATACTTGCTACTTCTTGACTTCAAAATAGTAGGTTCTAATTTCACGTCCAATAACTCATTAAATTTGGAAATCCGTGAAAAGTTTACAAGATGTTAAGCGTGGTCTGTACTTTTGTATGGATGTGAAACTTGGACTTTAAACGCCGATATCATGAATAAAATCGAGGCGTTTGAGATGTGGTTGTATCGAAGGATACTAAAAATTCCATGGACTAGCAGAATTAGAAACGACGAAGTTCTTCGAAGAATGGGACATCAACGAACTGTATTAAATATTATTAAGAGGCGTAAATTAGAATATCTTGGACATATAATCAGATTACCAAGATATGAGTTCCTTCGGCTAATTCTCAACGGTAAAATCGAAGGAAAAAAATTGAGAGGACGGAAGAAACTCTCTTGGTTGAGGAATTTGCGGCAGTGGACAGGTTTGACAGCGGACCAATTGCTACACGTAGCGCAAGACCGAGATCAGTATAACAATATTATAAGCATGGTAGTCGCCGACGTTCCGTAGGGATATGGCACTCTAAGAAGAAGAATTTCACGTGAAAAAATTTGTTCAGGCGAGTAAATTAGAACCATGGGTAGTTGGTTGGAATAAAGTATATCTGTAATGTCAGGTATTTCTGAGAAAGTTTCTACTATGAGGGGGGTTTTCTTGAAGTGCCAGTTTCTATGGGTCAAAACTTGAACTGTTAGTGATTGTATACTAGTGAGGTAAGAAGTTTTTTTGCAAATGGTTTTTATCATACATTTTCTGCTCAATAGTTGTCTTCTTAGTTTAAGAGGAGGTTCGACGGCTTCAGCTTGTATAATATTTATGGGTGTTGGCTTAAGATATCCCAGGCAAACTCTTAAGCATTTATTTTGTTGTATCTCGATTTTATTGTTTTGATTTTATATGTATCTGCTGCTGTTCCATAGAGTTGACTTCCATAATCCATTATTGATCGTACATTGTTTTGTAGAATAGTAAAGCCGTATTTGGATCTGCTCCCCACTTTGCCCTACAAAACGCTCTTAAAATATTTATAGAATTACTTGTTTTTTTTTTGATAATTTGGTGGATACAGCCCTTCCATAATAGTTTTCTATCTAGATGCAGACCAAGATATTTTACAGAGTTGCTAATACGGAGTTTATATTTTCCTATTGTTACTGGTCTTTGATAGTTGTTTCTGTTTCTAGAGAAAATACATATATTGGTTTTGGACTCGGATATGGAAAGTCCTATGTTGTCTAGGCATTTTTGGATTTCTATAAATTCAGTGTTGATATTTTCTATACATTTGTCCTCTGATTTGTTACTGGTGTAAATAACAACATCATCGGCGTAGTGAATAATTTTGTACTTAAGTGATATAACATTTTCTATGTCCATTGTGTACAGGCTGTAGAGGATTGGGCTGAAGATACTACCTTGTGGTAATCGAGATCTACATATTCTTGATTCCGAAACTTCTTTATTTATCTTTAAGGAAACTGATCGATTAGAGTAAGCTGGATTTTATGAAGTTGGCAAAGGAGGTTGGTAGACCAATATTGATAAGCTTCTCTTCTAGTATATTTATTTGAACATTATCATATGCTGAAGTTATATCCAAAAATGTAGCCAAAGTGCTGTATTTGTGTGTGAATCCTAGATAGATGTCATTTACTAGTATCGTTAGGGGTTCTAAGGAAGATCTTCCCTTTCTAAAAGCATATTGTGAGTCAGGTAATATTTTTTCATTTTCTAGCCAATATTCAAGCCAGTTCTTTATCATTCTTTCCATGGTTTTAAATATACACGATGATAAAGCTATGGGTCTATATGAATCTGCATTTCCGTTCTGTTTTCCAGGTTTTTTGGTAGGTACTACGATGCAACATATTGTATGAAATGTTATCCGCCCCGGGAGATTTATTATTTGTTGATTTAATGTATTGATCGAGTTCCCATAATTGAAATAGTGATTGTAGAAAAGAAATGTTTCTATTTACGGTAGCTATTTGTTGAGTAATGTTGTTTTCAACCCATGGGGGCGAGATTTTTGTGTGGAATTCGTTTATCCAGTCTTCTTCGGGGTTTATAGGGGGTTTATTTACTTGTTTTCGGTTTTTATATCGGTTCACTTTGTTTCACACTTCTTTAATTGGTGTATTTTGATTTAGATTTTGGCAATAATTACTCCAGCTTAGTTTCTTTGAAAGTTTTTTTAGCTACTGCATCAAGTCTTTTATATTCTGTTAGATTATTAAGATTTGGAGCATGTGTGTTAAGTAAGCTTGTTTTCTTGCTTTAGCAGCTATGTTAGAGGTTTCATTCCACCAGTCCTTCGAACAATTATTTCTATTTTGTGTGTTTGATTTTTGTAAGGGAATTGCTTTGTTGGCAGCTTTGTTAATATTGTCGATAATGCCCATTAGTGATGATTTTGGTTCTGTAGCTTCAAGTGTAGCGGTGTATACATCCCAATTAGCAGCCTTGAGTCTCCATATGTTATGTTTTGTCTGTTTAATTTGCGCCAGCGGGCTATTCCTTCCAAATTATATGTGTATTAGTAAGTGGTTAGAGCCATAAGGTTCTTCTAAAGTAGACCACGTAATTAGGTGCGTCAGATCCTGTGTACAGAGGGTCAAGTCTACAGCTGACTTCTTATTGTTTGCTAATGTAGGTGATCCGTCGTTCAAAATTACTAGGTTGCATTGTTCGATAGCTTCCAAAAGAATCTTGCCATAGATATCGTCATATCCATCATTTCAAGCCAAACTATGTGCGTTAAAGTCGCCCCTAGTTATGAATGGTTTTGGAATTTATTCCAAAAAGTTGATCCACTGTTGTAATGATATTCTAGTTCTCGGTTTAAAGTATACTGAAACGAAGTAAATTTTTTATGTATAAATGGAAAATTAACCGAGATACAAGTATGTTCAAAGTTTATTGTAGTTGGAATTGAGACTTCTTGGTATATTAAGTCTGATTTTAATAAAATGGCTGAGCCGCCGTACCCGTCGTCCCGGTCACAGCGAATATTGTTGAAGCCTTTAAAATTATAATATTTTTCTGCTTTAAACCATGTTTCCGATAGAAATGCAACGGAGTAGTTGCCCCTATCTAGTAGATATTCTAAGTTAGTTTTATTAGAAACTGTTGAACGGCAGTTCCATTAAAGAATATTTATTGCATGGTTAAGGTCTGAGAATGTGATGACGTGTTTCCATTTATAGTTAATTTGACTAAGTTTTCGAGTTCTTCCTTATTTATATTTATACTTTTTGTCACTAAAACTTTTGTGACAATTTCTATAACTAATTCTAATATTAAATTTATCATGCTCAGGTCTGAAGGAGATGTAACTGAATTATTATTAATATTTCCTTTATAGTTAATACTGTCTAATATTCCTCCCGTAGGTAATTGAGATCTAGGGGAAGCTATAATTTCATTATGTTAACTTTCCGTTTTGTTTTACTATCTTTTTTTTAATAGTTGACACTCAACTCTTCAATTAAATATTCTGTTTGATCTTTATTTTTCGACTCAATTTTAATTTATTTCAGTTCTATTCCCATTTACTCTTCGTATACTCCCGTATTCAAATGGGTAAACCAGAATCAAATAGAAGTACCGAGGACTCGTATGATAGCTAATAGAAGGTGTATAAGCCTACTGCAGTGCGACTAGCGCAAAACAAACATTTTCCAGAGAAGAAAAAAATAGGGCCACTATTAGCACACACAATGAGTATCTGGAACAACTTTTTTTAGAAGCCTACATCAGTTACACTGAAGGTAGATGCAAGGATCACAGCAAAAAGATCTTTAAGATCGCAGTGTTGAAAGTATTATGAGACCAAAGAACCTCTTTGAAATCTACATTCTTACCTCTGTTAATAACCTTTCCAAATTCTCAGACATCTCATGAAAATACTGACTGGTAATAAGTTTGCTCTGCGATTTGTGTAAGCAGTCTCTAGCTATTTCCAAAACTTGATGATGGACGAAACGGACGATGGGTAAATAATCACAATCTTTTCCAAAATCTAAAATTTTATTTTCTTCGATGAAATTTGCTAGCCTTTCCTCCATTTGTTGGGTTGCTTTCGGGAATCTTTCTTTGTATAATACGTTCATCATACATATTTCGTTGTCTATAACTGGAGATCTACTCGGACTACTGCAAGGAAAAACAGTAAGTTTTAGTAAAATTTTTACAAGTAAACGTTTTTTCTTTTAAATTTATTACCTTAAACTCCTAGACCGTGGTCTGTGAAGGGGTGATCGATGACTAACCGATGAGGTTTCTTCACCACTTGGTATGGACGCATTACTTTCGTTACTTGAGAAGTGATGAGTTAATATTCGAATATCTTCGGAAGTTGGAATATGTGGTAACTGATGTAATCTTTCTTGACTAGAGCATTTTGACTAAAACAAAAATTTTAATTAGATGTTTGTATACTGTAGTAATATTTCTAGTATCTAAAATTCACGTAAAATATATTGAACTTAAAAATAGAATGAGGCTTGATCCAACAGTTGACCGATACGGTCAAGCTCCGTTAAGAATAACAGATATTATTGATAAAGTTAAAGAAGTTTTTTGTAATAATCGTAATTAAATAAACGGTGCTATAGGCCATCCGTGTCCGTCCCAGCTTGCGTGGAGTAGGAGTTCTGAATGTAAGGGTGGGGGGACTGGGGGGGGGGGTGGGTGTGGGGGGGTGGGGGGGGGGGGGGGGGGGGGGGGGGTGGGGGTGGGGGGGGGGGGGGGGGGCGGTGCGGGGGGGTGGCGGGTGGGGGGGGGGGGGGGGGGGGTTGGTGGGGGGGGGGGGGGGGGGGTGGGGGGGGGGGGGGGGGGGGTGGGGGTCGGGGGGTGGGGGGGGGGGGGGGGGGGGGGTGGGGGGGGGGGGGGTGGGGGGGGTGGGGGGGGTGGGGGGTGGGGGTGTGGGGTGGAGGGGTTGGTGGGAGGTGGGGTGAGTGGGAGTGGTGGTGGGTGGGAGTGGGGTGGGGGGGGGGGGGGGGGGTGGGTGGGGGGTGTGGGGTGGGTGGGGGGGGGGTGGGGTGGGTGGTGATGTATTGGGTTGGTATGGTGTGTGGATTGGTTGTGGGTGTTATTGGGTATGTGGTTGGTTGTGGGGGGGATTGTGGTGGTGGGGGGGGGGGGAGGTGGTTTGTGGGGGGTGGGGTTTTGTGTTTTAGGTTGTGGGGGGGGTGTTTGTGGTTGGTTGGTTTTTTGGGGGGTTTGTGGGGGTTTGTGTTTTTGGGTGGGGGGGGGGTGTTGTGGGTGGGTGGGTGGGGGGGGGGGGGGGGGGTTTTGGGGGGGTGGGTGGGGTGGGGGTTGTTTAGGAATAGGATTGATTTAAGTTAGGGGGTTGGTGGGGTTGGTGATTTTGTGGTTATGAGGAATATGAATTTTGTTATGAATTGGAGGGTATTGTAAAAAAAGGACGTTTTACACTTTTTTCACATTCATCTAAGTTTGGTTTTTCACAAAAATTTTCTTTATTTTGCAAATAGATCTAATAAGTATGCAATAAAGCTATGCAAATGCATGTATCAAAAAGTTAGAGAAAGTTCAAAGATTTCTGAAATACTGTTCTTTTAAACTGCGTAGACCACATTTTTATTCTGATGTGATTAATTTCTTGAATATAGGTTTTTTTTTTCTTACCAGAAGAGTTAACTTTGACTTTGATCATTATTTTTAAGCTTAATAACCCAATCCCCTGAATTGCTTCAGGCAATTTGTTTTACATACTCCTTCCCGTTCACTGCTTTAAAATTCACTTTTTCATATTTCCCATCACAGAATAAATTATTATGGTTCAAATATAGGTGTGGTATTTTGGTAATCTTTAGGTTCTATTTGAAACACTATAATGCAAAAAGATACTTTGTATAAATAAGTGTGTACTTCCAATTTTTTAATGCTGGATTCTTGAGTTTGTAACATTTGTTATCAATAAATAAAGTTGACTAAAATTAACAAATTCAATCTATTATATTACATTCAAGCATAATTTTGCAGTTTTCTTGTGATTATCTACAACCAGGAAGAACAAAACCAACTGCATCAATGCAATCAAACTAAACACACATTACTTTACTAATGTTCTTTTATTGTGATGAAAACAAATGAAAATGCTTCTTAACAATACTTTAAACAATATTTAGTATAAATATCATCTAGAAAAATATCACATTAAATAATATTCGCATATCAACAGTCTGCTTATATTCTTTAATTGTTTGGTTATTAGTTGAATTCGCAACACCTAAAATTAGCACATTACTTTAGTAAGTTTTGATTTTAATAATAACTATTCTGCAAAACTAACCTGCTGCCTGTTTTACTTTTGCTATCGTGGCTGTTATTTTCAATCAAAAATTATCAATTTTCATTTTTTTATACATGTTTATAAAACATTGTTTCTTATTTGTTGATAAATGACCCAAATCTAATCGGCGTTTTTAAGGTGGAGAAGAATAATTACCACTAGTACTTGCCATTGAATCCATATTATTATCTTAATAACACTAAATAGTTCTGAAGAGAACTGTTCTTTATATAAATGCAAACGAAAAATCTATGAATGTAAGGAATAACGCAGAAAATACAAAAAATCGTCGATATAAATTTTGAATTTTAAAATTTCACAAATGTCATTAGTGTCAATATGTCATAATTTAGTGGAGTAAACTTGCCTGCGGTTGGACCAATTACAAACAAGAATTACGGCGCGGAAAATTTGAATTACTCCTCCTGGTTAAAAAACAGACCATAGTGTCAAATGGGCTACCAGGCATGTGTTTGTGAGCAAACCAGGCAACACATGCGAAATTGGCGCCTGAAAGAAAATCAGATTTTCAGTTAAGAAAAGCAATGGGAATAGAATCCTGAAATGTTCAAGGATTATTGTAACCAGGCAAACTGCATATACTACAACGAGAAGTCGAAAGAGAGGATATAAAAATATGCGGACTTTCGGAGACCCAGTGGAAAGGACAAGGACACTTCCGAACAGCAGATCATGTTGTATACATATCGGGAGCAAATAACACAGGAAGAAATGGTGTTGCAATTATGGTGACAAAAAAAGTTTCACAATACTTGTATGACTACCAACCGATCAATGATGGACTTATAAAAATAACCTTACTAGCATCACCAAACAAAATGCACAGTCTTCAGGTCTATATGCCAACCTCAGACGCGTTAGACAATGAAGTGGAAGACATATACTCTGTTATTGGAGACACAATAAAAAATATTTCATCTAAGAACCACTTATAATCATGGGCGATCTTAAGCTAAGGTAGGAGAAACAAAAAATGAGAACATCCAAAATGTAGGAAACTATCTATGGTTTAGGTATTAGAAACAGCCGAGGCGAACGTTTAATAAATTTTGCAACCTAAAACAGTTTGGCCATTGTAAACACAATGTTCAAAAATCATGCCCGTCGTTTATCGACGTGGACCAACCCAAATGGGGAATACAAGAACCAAATCAAGAGCTGAATGTGGATCCAATCATAAATTGTTATGGGCTTGCTTCAAGATGAAGCTAAAAAGAACAATGTCGCACCAAAGTCAAAACAGGTTGGAGATTTCAAATCCGAAAACATTTAGAGATGCATTAAAGGAAACTAGTATGTTGAACACACAAGACAACCCAGAAGAAATGTGGAATGGTTTCAGAAATGCCATAGAAAACTGATAGAAAGAAACCAGAATTGAAAAAGAGATCATCAAAAGAAAACACTGGATGACAGACAGAACGCTGCAACTTCTCGAAGAGCGAAGGAGAATCAAATCTCTCATACATCAAAACGACAGCAGCAAAAACGAATTAGCAAGGTTAAATAGAGAAATTAAAAGAGCATGTAGAGATGAGAAAAATAAACATATAAATGAAGAATGCGATGAACTAGAGAGACATGCAAAACGGTATGAATCACATGAGCTATATAACTAAGTCCGATATCTATTCCAGGGAATTTAAACCAATCACACAAACAATAATGGATCAAAACCAACATATTATAAATTAAGAGAAAAGAATTGCGGAGGTATGGAGAAAATATTGTCAAAGTCTATATGCAGATAATCCCCAGAATGCAAATCACGAGTTCACTGCGGAGAGAGAACCAAAAATTCTAAAGTCAGAGGTAGAAAAAGCAATCAAAAGGTTAACAAATAGAAAATCTCCTGGCGCAGAAGTTTTAAAAGATGCTGGACATGTTGGGGTAAATGTTATGCATATGATCTGCAAAAAGATTTGGGAAACCGGAGAGTGGCCCAACGACTGGACAACATCCACTTTCATCCCTATATTCAAAAAAGGAACTCCGCTAGATTGCAGCAACTACAGAAGGGTAACCCTAATATCACATGCAAGCAAGGTTCTACTTCATGTAATACATGAAAGACTAAAAGCTTTTCTATTGCGTCAAAAATCAGAAGAACAATCGGGATTTACCCCAGGAAAAGGCACAAGAGAACACATCCTTAATGTCAGACAGCTAATCGAAAAAAAAAACGTGAATTCAATACTCCTATGCTTATGTGCTTTGTGGATTACACAAAGGCCTTCGATAAAGTCAAATGGCAGCAGCTATGGTCCATACTAGCGGAAATGGGAATCCCACCACTTAATTCAACTAATTATAAGTCTATATGAAAATAATAAGTGACAATAAACAACACCCATTCTGATCATTTCAGAACAGAGGGATGTATCAGACAGGGATGCATAATCTTGCCAACTCTGTTTAATATCTACAGCGAACACATTATGCAAAAGGTACTAGACGGATGGAAGGGTGGAATATCGGTAGGAGTGTCAATTATTAATACAACAAAATGGAGGGCATTTTGAACATTTATTATAATTTTCACGTTTTTGGAAAATTAATTCTAGTTGGTACGTTGTTTATTATCGTTGTTTGTAGGTTTACTATAATGTTAATATTTTTGTTAACTTAATTCTGGTTGTTCAGTAGTTTTTTGTTATTGGTAAATTTGTTATTCCTATTTTTTAAATTGATTGATCTTATTTCTGGTGAATCAAATTGTGAAGGATTAGTATCCGCATAATAAAATGTTATAATGTCTTACTGAGCGTTTTGTATCTAAGTGTCTTTAAAGTGATGTCAAATAAACAATTATTTATTAGATGGTAGTTTCCGAATGGTAGTTTTATAGTTTCCGAAATATGATTTTTCAAAGTTCGCCACTCACAGCATTTTTGGTGCATTTTCCTTATTATTTCGCAAACATTGTTCGACTATTTTTAAGCAAGATATGGTATTTCAAAGTTGTATACTTTTAACGATTTTTGATATTTTTTACTAAAAATTATTTTTTAGATTTCTCATGAACTTAGAACTTTTTTTGTGGTACCTTTAGGTACATATATACAT